AGAAGTTCCCTTTTGCCCCCATTGCCCACCTGTAACCGTGGCAGAGAGCTTAGCCACGTATCCTTGAGACCAAACCCGGAGTTAAATCCTGCAGACAGAGAGGAGGGAGAAGCTGGCTTCCATGGTGGGCTTCTCTCCCACCTTCCCCACATGCCTACCCCGAGACCTAGGCTCTTACCAATAACCAGGTCGGGCTTGGGCCCCTGGAGCAGGTGGTAGGGCCTTGCTGACACCTTGATCTGCAGGTCCCTGCGGGCTCCCTTCTCCTTAGTGCCAGAGCTGGGCCGTGCTGATATGCCAGAACCAGGACGGACAGACACCTCGGGGCCGTCCTGAGGGGCCAGGAGTGGGGTGCAAAAGCCACTGGAAGTCAGGGAACTGGAGGATGCACCAGGCAAGATGGGGAGTGGGAGGCAGAAGGGCAGGGCCCGACCAGGAGGTCACTGGAGGGGTCAGGGCTGAAAAACAGGGCCCCCTCAGCCCTTACCCTCTGCAGGGTAAAATGCTGCTGGTCGCTTTCGGGGGGCAGGCCATCACCTACAAACTGCAGCTCCAGGGCCACATGGGGGAGCAGGACCAAGAGCTCCTGAAGGACAGAAAGAAGGACAGATCTGGGTTCTACCCTGTGCCCACCCCCATACGAAGATACCCAACCTTCGGGCCTGGGGTGACTTACCCAAAACACCATGACAAGATCAAACTCCTTCCCGGCCTCCACCACGTGGATCTTCAGTGATTGTTTGTTTTGGATGTTGAGCTCAGGGACTGGGTGAGAAGCCAGTGCATTAAGGATGTGGGCCATTCTCACTCCCCCATCTTCCCCCCACCCCCCACTCCGCTCTCCTTACAGGACTGGGGCACCAGGTGGGTGATGACATAGTACACGGTCAGCGGGTAGGTGAGAAGTACAGCTGTGGGGGAGTCCAAGCTGAGGCCACGCCATGTGTAGTAATCCTGCCATGAGCCTGGGAGGAGGGGGTTACGAGAGGACCTGTCCGGGGGCTCCACCTCCTCTAGTCTAATAGGCCGCTTCTTCACAGCCACCCAGGCTCTGGTTCTCCAGTCCCTGGCCCTACCCCTAGCTCCCACAGGGCCCCTCCAGCTCACCAAAAAGAGCCCGGGGTGGATCTGCGGGCACAGGAGGCATCAGGGCAGGCCCGTCCCCCTGGAGAAGCTGGTAGGGGTCTCCTGAGAGGATGAAAGAAAGAGGGGCCTGGGGTCAGGGAGACCCCCACCTGACCCATCTCCTTCTTTCTTCCAAGGGAGCTGTATTCCCTGAGAGAGCCATAGTAAGAGGAATGGGGGTTTGCATACGGACGGGGCCTGTGGGTGGAGTCGGTAGGGGTGATTCCATTGTGGGCTGGGAAAGGCCTGAAATGGCCCTGGTGCTGTTGGTAGGGGTCAGTGTGTATGTGGAGGGATTATCTGGGACCCAGACAACTTCTTCCCAGTCCTTTCCTCTATGCCGAGGGGCCCAAGCCTGAAGAGAGACCCCACGCACCACCGCGAAGGCTGAGGGATGGCATGTGGCCTCGGGGGTGCCTGGAGGAGCCAGGGCCTGGAATCAGCATACTGAGCTGGGTCCAGTAGCCACGAGTGAGGCCCCGAGAGGCCAGGAAGGCCTCCTTGTTGAAGGTTTCACTGGTCACCTCTGGAGAAGGAGAAGGGGAGGAGTTGAGGTGCTGGGCTAGAACCCCAGACTTTTTTTTTGAGTCTTGCTCTGTCACCCAAGCTAGAGTGCAGTGGCGTGATCACGGATCACTGCAGTCTCGACCTCTTGGCCTCAAATGATTCTCCCACCTCAGCCTCCCGAGAATTGTGACCACAAGCGTGTGCACCATGCCTGGCTAATTTTTTCTATTTTTTGTAGAGAAAGAGTCTATGTTGCCCAGGTTGATCTCAAACTCCTGGGCTTAGGTTGGCCTCCCAAAGTGCTGGGATTACAGGTGTGAACCATTGCCTGGTCTACAACCCCAGACTTGAACTCTCCCCAGCCTCCCGCAAGGACTCTGGTTCTAAGTCTGGTTCCAGTCAGGCAGGGAACTACCATTGCTGAGTGTCTCCAGTATATCAAGCCAAGATAATCCTTGTAACAATTCCATGGGCCTTTACGTGTATGTTCATATCCCTCTTTTATAGATGAGGACACGGAGGCTTCAGGAAGCAAAGTGGTTTGTTTAAGGTCACACTGCCAGTTAGTGGTGGAGTCGGGAAGCAAGTAAGTGTTTGGATCTCTGTCCCCCAATCCCTGCACTCTCTCAGGGACCTAGACACTCAGTCCTTGGCCTCACAGACCCTGTCTCCAGCCCCAAACACCCAGCCCCTGCCCTTGTTCCAGGGATCTAGGCTCTAGCCCCAGACTCTCAGCCTTCAACTCCAGGACCCTGTTCCCAGACATCTAATTCCCAGTCTCAAAGACCTGGGCCCAGTTTCCCCCAACCATTCTGACCTCCTTATGGTACCTGCGGTGTAGGTAAAAGGCAGGGCTGCCAGTTCTCCTGCCCGATCCATGAAGGTTGCAAGCCTTGGGCACCAAAATCGGTGGCTCACATCATCTGGGCACCGCCGCCAGTCAGCCCGGAGACAAGCCTCGCCACAATACAAGACAGCACTACACTGGGGGCTGAGGACACAGTGGGTGGTGGGCACCTAGTGTTAACCTCTGTGGGCCCTGTCTGCTGTCCATCTGCCCAGCAGCTGCCCATATGTCCCTCGGTCTGTTTGTCTTACACCCTCTAACTGCCTGTAATAGCCTGTATTGTTTCATCTGCATCTTCTTATGTCCCTGCCCCTCCTTCTGTCTGCTAGGCCCCCCCACCATCCTGCTTTCTTTCTATTTGCCTGACTGTTGGGATCTTCCTCTCCCCGCAGCTTTTGGGCTGCTCACCAGGGTGTCAACTTCACTTCAAAGCTGTGCCTGTGACACACGTGGCAGGTTCGAGCGCGAAGGGAAGCAAAGGTGAAGCCTGGCCGGGGACCCCATGTCCGCATTGGGGTCTTGGCTAACTTCACACCTAGCCTTGGGACCAAGCTCTCCAGCTCTCTAAATAGGGGGGAAGACGGAATCAGGCTGGCGGGGGTGCTTGGGAATCCAGGGCCCCAGCCCTCCCCAGCCTCAGATACCAGATTTCTATACCGATGCAGCCGGGCATCTCCCACAGTAAGCTGTTGGGGCTTTCGGGGGTCCCCAGAGCCCATGGGACAGGCCATGCTGTGACAGAGGAGAGCATAGGCCCGAGGAGCCAGGTTCTCAGTCCCTGAGCCCCAGCTGGCAGTTCCCTGGGCTCCATCCACTAGCAGATCAATGCCCAAGATGGTGCCATGCTCATCCGTCACAAGCAACAGACAGGAAAGGTGCAGGGGGGCAGCCTCTGGGGAAAGAGGGAAAAGTTGAGGTGGTAGGGGACAGCGAGAGACATGTGGTCAGGGTCAGGAGTAGCAAACTCAGATACCTACAGGGGCTAGGCAAGTAACCTCACCGAGTAAAGGGCACTGGGTAGAGAGCGCACACTCCTTCTAAAGGGGACAGCTGCTACAGAGGACCAGAACGCGCTGCCATGCACAAATGTAGGCCCCCTGTCAGAGCTTGAGATTTTTCTTGGGAATGTGTAAATCCAGACTTCTGGATTTTTTTTTTCTTGTAATGTTTAAACATTAAATTTAAAAAAAAAACAAAACCCACTGTGGGTCAATAAAAACACCTTTTCAGGCCAGATTGGCCTGAAGGCCAGCACTCAGAACTAGTGGCAGGGGAGGGCTTCTGAAGGGAGGATGGCTGGGCAAGAGGTAGGGCAGGGCCAGTCCTGGGTTCTTACCACTCCTCTGTCCCTTGGTCTTCTGGGGTCTTGTTTCATTCTCCACCCTGTCCTCTCGGCAGCCATCTTTGCCACCTCCTGCCTCCCGGTCAGCCTCCTCTGACTCTCCTGGAGGGTTTGTTTCCTGCGGGGACTCCCTGCTGCTAGGAGCTAGCTCCCGGTCCTCCTCTGGTTCCACCTTCTCTGTGCCTGCACCCCCTTCCTCTCTCTTCTCTTCTTCTTCATCTTCCTCCTCTTCCTCCTCCCCTTCCTCCCCGTCCTCTAGGCTGACAAAGCTGACGTAGGGGCTCAGGTCTCGCAGGTGGAGTGGAGGGTCATCTCCCAGGAGCCGGGCAGACCCCAGGCCTGGTCCAGGACCTGGCTCTGCCCCTTGCCCCAGGCTGATGCCCACACTACGGTTGGGCAGGACATGGAGCACCCAAAGCGCAGGGTCCTGGGGCAGCCTTCTGATCTGGGCCTCCAGCTGCCACCAGCGGCCCTCAAGGCTAGTCCCTACAGCTCCACGCTCTGCCACAAACTTTCGGAACCAGCCGAAGAGAAGGGCAGCGAAATCAAGGAACTCATCCCGGTATCCAGACACAAACTCCATGTCTTCAGGCGCACAGGGCCCCGGCCCAGACTGAGCAAAAGAAGGGATATGTGGTGAGGGACAGGAGAGCAACGATGGAGTTTGGGGCTAGGTCACAAATTTGGGGGAGAGGGTAGGTTTGAGAGTCACTTAGGATTGGATCCACGAATATGCTAGGAGCTGAGAAGAGGGTTTTCAGGGCTGAGGATGGGAGTTCAGGGAGGAAAATGGGGGCTGGACTTAAGTGGGTGACCAGGGTTGGAGAAGACTACTCAGGGATGAGATGGTATTTGGGGCTTAACATTGGAGAGTTCAGACCCTCAAAAGCAGAGTTTAAATTAAGGCTAGAGAGGAGAGAGGGCTAATCCTATCGGGAAGGGTTTGGTGGGGAGGGAAGCATTTTGGACGTGTCCGTCGGGTATGGGAGTGGGAGCGAGGGTGTTCCCTGCGCTCGGATCGGGGTGACGGGCAGCCCCGGTAGACCTAGCCCCTCCCGACCACCCCAATCCTCCGGTACCTGCAGCCGCCACCACTTTTCGAAGGTAAATACCTCGGGGTGGAGGGTGCGCGGGTGCGGTCGTGACGTCAGGGCTGCCCGAGCCCTCGCCGGCTGAGCGGGCGGCCACGCCCCCGGGCTCGGTGCGTCCGCGGGTGGTGGCCCCGCAGGTGCGCGCGGCCGGGGCTGGCGGCGACTCCCTCCACCGGGCCGCCCGGGAGGCTCATATAGCGCGGCTGGGTCCCGCGGCGCCGGGAGCGGGGAAGTGAAAGTGCCTTGGAGGACGAGGGCCGGTCCGGCCGTGCGGCCGCCTCACAGGTCCGCGGGCGCTCGGGGCGGGCGAGGCGGGTGGCCTCCTGAACCGAACCGAATCGGCTCCTCGGGACGCCGTCCTCCCGCCCCTCCTCGCCCGCCGCCCGAGTTTTCTTTCGGTTTCTTCCAAGATTCCTGGCCGTCCATCCACGGAGCTCGGGCCCAGTGCGGGGGCGCAGGGCGCGGGAGCTCCTCCTCCCGAGTTTTCCCTGTGGCCAGAGGCTGGCACGGCGCGGGCCGGGTACTGAGCGCACGATCGGGGCGCAGCGGGGCCGGGGGCTGCAGCTGGCTCGCGCCTCCTCTCCGGCCGCGACCTGGCGTCGACGGCCGCCGTCTCCTCCAGTCCTTGGCGAAAGCCATTGAGAAACCAGCTGGACGTCATGCGCCGGAGCCTGTCTGGGAGTCAGAGCGCGGCGGCTCCATCCCCGCAGACTCCGCGGAGCCCCGACATGGGACAGGCCTTGGTGCCCGGGGCCCGCGCGCTCCTGCTCCTGCTCCTGCTGGCGTGCCTGCCTCCGCCAGGTTAGCCGGGGGCGGGACAGGGGACCCAGATTCCCCAGTCATGGGAAGGGGGTGATTTGGGGAGGGGACATGAGGCCCACGGAGTTGAGTTGATGAAGGCAGCGGGGACAAGAGGAAAGCCAGCCAGCCGCTTGGGGTTGGGGACAGAGGCCCCGGGACACCTGGCTCCGGGCGGGATTATGGATGTTGTGGGGGTCGTGATAATGTGTGGGGTGAGCCTGGCGCTCTGACCCTGGGTCCACGGGAGAGGCTGTCATGGAGCTGTGGATTGGAGGCCAGGGAACAGCGGAGTGGGGACCCTAGGCCTGGGAACGCGTGCTGACCACCTCTGTCCTGCTCAGGCAATGGCAACGAGGGCACCGTCACTGGAAGCTGTCATTGTAGTAAAAGAATTTCTTCTGACTCCCCGCCATCGGCTCAGTTCATGAATCGTCTCCGGAAACACCTGAGAGCTTACCATCACTGTCTACACTACATCAGGTAATTTCACCTGCCTCTGCGAGCGCCTGCGCGGCCCCTCCTTGCCAGGTGCGTCCAGGACCCTCTCTGGTCAAACCTGAACTCCTTCCCGGCGCACCTAGCCCGATCTCCGGGTTCTGTTTGCTCCCATTCCCCGAAATTTCATGACTCCGTAGCACCTACCGGGGAATTTCCCAGTCCCAGCAGAAAGGGCTCTTGGTAGCGACTTAACGCCTTTGGAATGAGGAAGGAAAGGAGGAGCCGCAGCTGAGCCCAGGTCTCTCCTCCGCAGGTTCCAGTTGCCTTCCTGGAGCGTGTGTGGGGGCAGTAAGGACCCATGGGTTCGGGAATTGATGAGCTGTCTTGATCTCAAAGGTGAGACTTCCCCACTGCTCTTCAGGCTCTGCCTCCAGGGCTTAGCGGGTTCCACCTGACCGTCTTCTTTACCTGAGGCTTTTCCCCTGGGGCCGCACATTCCCAGAACCTTCTTCTGATCCTGTCCAAAGTACTTAGACTCAGTCCCCGTTTGCCAGCGGGTTGATCATTCACCATCACCTTCATGATTTTTGCCAATTCATTCTACCACGTGTGCTATTGTCTACTTATTAATATTTTTCTTGAAATCAAAGTACTATTTTATTTTATTTTATTGAGATGGAGTCGTCCAGGCTGGAGTGCAGTGGCACGATCTCGGCTTGCTGCAACCTCTACCTCCCAGGTTCAAGCGATTCTCCTGCCTCAGCCTCCTGAGTAGCTGGGATTACAGGCGCGCACCACCAAGCCTGGCTAATTTTTGTATTTTTAGTAGAGACGGGGTTTCACCATGTTGGCCAGGCTGGTCTTGAACTCCTGGCCTTGTGATCCGCCCGCCTCGGCCTCCAAAAGTGCTAGGATTACAGGCGTGAGCCACCACACCTGGCCTATTTTTCTTTTCCAATATTTTATTATGAAAATTTACACATATACAAAAGTTGAAAGAATGGCACACTGAATATCCAATGCCTCCACCTAGATTCGACAATTTTATTTATGTATATTTTACATATTTACATAAACATATATTTTACACTATCAATTTTACAGCACTTACACGATATTTGCTTTATTAAGTATAATCTATTCATCCTTCTATCCATCATCCATCACCTTATTTCTCGATGCATTTTTTTTTTTTTAATGGAGTCTTACTCTGTCACCCAGGCTGTAGTGCAATGGTGTGCTCAGCTCCCTGCAGCCTCCGCCTCCCAGGTTCAAGCAATTCTCCTGCCTCAGCCTCCCAAGTAGCTGGGATTACAGGCGCCCGCCACCGTGCCCGGCTAATTTTTGTATTTTTTTAGTAGAGACGAGGTTTCTCCATGTTGGTCAGGCTGGTCTCAAACTCCTGACCTCAGGTGATCCACCCGCCTCAGCCTCCCAGAGTGCTGGGATTACAGGCGTGAGCCACCATGCCCAGCCTCTTGGTGCATTTCAAGGCAGGTTGCGGACATCGTTGTACTTCATCCCAAGACATTTCAGCATGTATATTAAGTAGAGTTCAATATTTTAATGCTTTCTTCTCTTTTGAGTTCAAATTTACGTACAATGAAATGAATTACTTTTAAGTGTGCACAAACTAGTTTTGAAAACTTAAGTAGAGGCCCCCAGATCTTCCTCCAAATCTCAACTCGCGAGGCTGGAGAGGTCGGGCGCGGTGGCTCACGCCTGTAATCCCAGCACTCTGGGAGGCTGAGGCGGGCAGATCAGCTGAGGTCAGGAGTTTGAGACCAGCCTGACCAACATGGTAAAATCCCATCTCTCCTAAAAATACAAAATTAGCCAGGCATGGTGGCAGGTGCCTGTAATCCCAGCTACTTGGGAGGCTGAGGCAGGAGAATCGCTTGAACCTGGGGGTGGAGTGCAGCGAGCCAAGATCACGCCATTGCACTCCAGCCTGGGCAACCAAAAAAAAAAAAAAAAAAAAAAGAAAGAAAGAAAACTTAAATAGTAAATTATCCTAAGCAATAACATCTGTGAAGTCACAAGTTTGATGCACTGGTTGTATTTTTCTCTTAAAATAAATATACAACCTTTAAAATACAAAAGGTTCTTCCATGTCCTAGCTAAAGTTTTGTATGATCTGTGTCATCCATACTGCCTTTAAGTCTGCCTAGACCTACATGATTTCCTTTCATCCTCCCAGTTACCCTGGCCCTTGGTACTACAATTATCCTCATGTTACAGCTGGAAGAAATCACTTCCGGAGAGGTTAGGGACAAGGGGTGAGGTTACACAGCTACTTGAGGTTACACAGCTACTTTACAGCAGAGCCTGGATTCCAACCCTGGTCTTCTGATTTCCCAGTTCATGACACCCACTTGTCTCGTGGTTTGCTCACTTCCTTGTCCCCTATCTTTTCCGTCTGTCACTGCCTTCCTCTTCTGGCCTTTAGCTTGATATCCTCCCTGACCCGCTCTTCCCTCTGTTGGAGCTCTACATGACACTCCAAAACATGGCACTTTGGTCATTAAGAAAACAGCAGAAGTAGCTCAGTCTGCTGTTTCCGTTTTTCTGTGACAGCTAGCCATAAAGGAATTCTCTAACTTCATCTGGAAGTAGGTCATAGGCCTCGTTTCAGAGGGGTCCTGCCCTATACTTGGAGGCCAAGAAGAATCTGGACAGGCCTTTCTGGTCCCCCCGTTCCCCATGTATTACCATTAGATCATACCCTTTTTGTCCAATCATACTTTTTTTTTTTCTTTTGAGATGGAGTTTTGCTCTTGTTGCCCAGGCTGGAGTGCAATGGTATGATCTCGGCTCACTGCAACCTCTGCCTCCCGGGTTCAAGCGATTCTCCTGCCTCAGCCTCCCATATAGCTGGGATTACAGGCATGTGCCACCACGCCTGGCTAATTTTGTATTTTTAGTAGAGACTGGGTTTCTTCATGTTGGTCAGGCTGGTCTCGAACTCCCGACCTCAGGTGATCTGCCCGCCTCCGCCTCCCAAAGTGCTGGGATTCCAGGCATGAGCCACCATGCCCAGCCAATCCAATCATACTTCTATACAACTGTCTATTCTTCACAGCAAGCCTAAGCATAAAAATACACTTTTCCTTGGGTCTTTGGGTCTTCGTTTCTGAAGTTTCCTATGTCATGTAAAACTGTGATGAAATAAATGTTAGGCTTTTCTCTTGTTAATGTTTTTTATTTATAGGGGTATCAGCCTTGACCCTTGGGATGGGTGAGGAAAAGATATTACTTTTTCTCCCCTACACGTCTATCTGCTTTTTCACCTTTTCTCCTGATAGTCCTGATTCCTCATTTTTTTCCTTTCCAGAATGTGGACATGCCTACTTGGGGAGTGTGGCCCACCAGGAGCATTTACCTCCTACCAGCACCCCCATTTCTCAGGCCTCAGAGGGGGCATCTTCAGACATCCGCACCCCTACCCAGATGCTCCTGTCCATCTTGCAGTCAACCCAGTGCCCCACCCCCCCAGCAGGATCACTGTCCTTGGACAAAGAGCTCACTCGTCCCAGTGAAACCACCATTCCCACTGCGGGCCACAGTCTGGGAGTTGGGCTTGAGGCTGGGGAGAACCAGAAGCAGCTGAAAAACAATGCTGGTCCCACAGCCGGGACATCAGCCACAGTGCCGGTCCTGTCCCTCCTGGCCATCGTCTTCATCCTCACCGCACTCCTTTCCTATGTGCTGTGCAAGAGGAGGGGGCAGTCACCGCAGTCCTCTCCAGGTAAACTGGACCTCTGAACCCTTCCCCCAGGGACCCAGAGCCTTCCTGACAGGGATCCTGACCCAGTGGCTCTCAGGTGGCTGGAAACCTGGCCTCTGCACACAAGTATCAAGGTTGTCTGCACAAGGTTGACTCTGGGCCCTCTGAGGACAGTCAGCCAGGGACTGTAGAGAGTGGAGAGGGAAGGAAGCCACCATGGGCACAAGGACTAGTGCTTGCAGCAACATCATAGAGAAGATAGCTAGAGCAAGCTAGTGGGAGATGAAGCTGCAGAGGGAGGTGAGGGCAAGTCATTCAATTAACAAATTTTCACTGAGCACCTACTGTGGGCCAGGTCATAGGGTTAATGTCTTGATCTGATTCCCTAGTTCAAGCCTCATCCCCCCATCACTCTCCTTGATCTCAGAGCTCATCTCTCAATTTCTTCATCTTTTCCAGATTTGCAGCTTCATTATATACCTGTGGCGTCTGACTCTAATACCTGAGCCAAGAATGGAACCTTGTGAGTGTAAACGGTGGTTTATTTTTACACAAGGTATAATAAAGGAGATCAACCCGACAACATGGCAGGCACCGTATACTTGTTTTGTTTTTCGTTTTTCAGGTACGGGCTGTACGTTGCCCAGGCTGTTATGGAACTCCTGAGTCAAGTGATCCTCCCACCTTGGCCTCCGAAAGTGTGTGGATTAGAAGAAGCGTGACCTACCATATTCAGCCTACACGTATTTGTTAATATCTAACATAGGACTAACCAGCCACTGCCCTCTCTTAGGCCCCTCATTTAAAAATGGTTATACTATAAAATGTGCTTTTCATACTGGGTGATAATAACTTGGACAAATTCTATGTGTATTTTTTGTTTTGTTTTGCTTTGAGACGGAGTCTCGCTCTATCATCCAGGCTGGAGTGCAGTGGCACGCTCTCTGCTCACTGCAACCTCCACCTCCCAGGTTCAAGTGATTCTCCTGCCTCAGCCTCCCGAGTGGGATTACAGGCATGCGCCACCACGCCTGGCTAATTTTTGTATTTTCAGAAGAGATAGGGTTTCACCATGTTGGCCAGGCTGGTCTCAAACTCCTGACTGCAAGTGATCCGCCTGCCTTGGCCTTCTGAAGTGCTGAGATTACAGGTGTGAGCCACCGTGCCTGGCCCTATGTGTGTTTTTTAACTACTAAAAATTATCTTTATAATGATGGACTCTTTTTTTTTTTGAGACTGAGTCTTACTCTGTTGCCCAGGCTGGAGTGGAATGGTGTGATCTTGGCTCACTGCAACCTCCGCCTCGCGGGTTCAAGCGATTCTTCTGCCTCAGCCTCCTGAGTAGCTGGGATTACAGGCGCTCACCACCACACCTGGCTAATTCTTGTATTTTTAGTAGAGACAGGGTTTCACCATGTTGGCCAGACTGGTCTCGATCTCCTGATCTGGTGATCCGCCCACCTCGGCACCCTAAAGTGCTGGGATTAAAGCTGTGAGCCACTGTACCTGGCCCTATGTGTGTTTTTTAACTACTAAAAATTATTTTTATAATGATGGAGTCTTCTTTATGGAAACAACTGGCCTCAGGCCCTTGCACCCTTACCATGATTCCTGGCTTGTTTGTTCTGCTCATGGTTCCCCCTCGTCCCAAATCTCCCCCAGTACACCAGTTGTTCCTCCCCACCTCAGCCCTCTCCTGCGTCCTCCTGTCCCCGCAACGGAGGCCTGGGCTTTCCCACCCTCCCTCCTTAGCAGGCGCTGTGCTGGGACACCACATGGGCTGGTTTCACTTCCTCAGTCTCTTGCCTACCCCAGTGAGAGTCTGATCTTGTTTTTATTGTTATTGCTTTTATTATTATTGAGACTCTAGTTCTTGTTTTGTCTCTCTGAATGAAGAAGAATGTGTCTTCGTTAGGCCAAGTCTGCGGGAAGCCTGGGGCAGCAGCATGAAGTGTTAGAGGAAGTGGGTTGGGTATGGGAGTTTCCATCTCCTCTCTGAGCCTGTCAGGGTGTTTGTGGAGAGCAGAGCAGGAGCACCCTGTTGGAGAGGCCAGGGCATAGCTGTGGGCAGGCTTGGGCTTCAGTTTTTCTGTGCCCACCATTTGCCCCTTTGTCCTAGGGTACTGTGACCAGCAGGGCATGTTGGTGCCCATACTCCCCACCCTACATGTTCTCAGGTTCTGTCCCATGGCGCAGGTGATGGTCTCCCTCTGAGCTCTGGGTCCACCTCCCTGGCCTAGTTCTCCAGCATCTGCTCACAGGTTCGAGCCACATCACTGAGCTTGAGGCGGGCATAGTCCACTCGCTTCAGAGCCATCTGACAGTCCTTCCTCGAAGAGTAGCTGGAGCCCTCATGGGGCTGCCCTGTGGCCACCTACAAGACAGACTATCAATGGAGCACCATCTCCTTTACCCTTACTCCAAGCAGGCATCAGGTCTCTTGTCTCATTTCTTACCTGAGTTTGAATTTGTTAGGCCACCTGGTAGCTGGATAAATAAATCATTTAACTTATGTTAATCTTGTCTGTAAAATGGGAGTGACAATAACTACTTCCTAGAGTTGTTGAGGATTAGATAAAATAATGCAGAGTATCTGGCACACCGTAAAAATTAGTAATGGTAGCGGTCCCTGCGACAAGTTCAGAATCTTCTCAATCCTGCCCCTCTTCTCAGGATATAAGGATCTGGGACCTCGTGGCCTTGAAGTCAGGCCAAGTTTCCAGTGACAAAGTTCTGTAGTTCTAGCATAATTTACACATCTTCTCCCAGGCACATGTGATGTTACCCAGTGAGGTTATTATTTATTATTTTTATTTTTTGAGACAGAGTTTTTGCTCTGTTGCCCAGGCTGGAGTGCAATGGCATGATCTCGGCTAAGTACACCTCCTGGGTTCAAGCGATTTTCCTGCCTCAGCCTCCCTAGTAGCTGGGATTACAGGTGGTCACTACCATGCCCAGCTAGTTTTTGTATATTTAGTAGAGACGGAGTTTCACCATGTTGGCCAGGCTGGTCTCGAATTCCTGACCTCAGATGATCCACCCGTCTCGGCCTCCCAAGGTGCTGGGATTACAGGAGTGAGCCACCGCGCCCAGCCTAATTTTTATATTTTTGTTAGAGACCAGGTTTCACCGTGTAGGCCAGGCTGGTCTCGAACTCTGCCAAGCCACTGCGCCCGGCCCATTCTTTCCTTTTAGAGGAAGAAACCGGCTCTGGACGGCCGGCTGGGGAGGTCTGGGCCTGCCCAGTTAATGCTCCACCCGGGATCACCCAAGGCTGAGGCTTTGACCCAGAGCTGGGGTCCGCTCGCAGCACCCTCCAGACACACCGACCTGGGTGAGGTAGCGGATCTGAGCCGACAGCTCCGCCTCCACGTGTAGCACTGAAGCGGTGAAGGCCGCCGCCTGCCGGTCTAGAAGCCGCTCGTTGGTTTTTTCCTTGGACAGTTCTAGGATGACAGTACCTGCCAGGGCGGAGAGAGGGAGGGGACACACGGAGACTGCCAGTGTAGCCCCGCCCTAGGGCCAGCCCCTCTCAATCCCGCCCTTTCGCTGCGCACGCACGTAGGAGTTCCTCCCCAACCCCGCTCCAAGTGCCGGGTCAGCCTGTGCGTGCAGCCCGGCCACGCGTTCTCTCCCCGCCGTCCGGGTTGTCGCATCCCGAACCTGCATTCTGAAGGATGGCGCCGATTTCCCGTTCAATGTCTTCCAGGGCGCGTAGTCTCTCGTTCGCCAGACTATAGGTAGCCATCGTCACTCTGGGAATTCTCACCTAGAGTTTCTCCTGAGAAACGCGACGCTTGTTCCGGAAGTGGCTCTCGGTGTGCGCCTGCGCAAAGGGTACCGTGTAGGGAGCACTACAATTCCCAGGATGCTCAGCGCAGCCGCGCCTCCACTCGGTCCACCTGGTGAACTACAACTCCCAGGGTCTGCGGCGCCTCAGCCACAGGACCACCTGTAGTCAGAGGCGACAGTGGAATATCTCCTTGCCCAAGGCCATTCAGACCTGTCCGCCTTCTTGGCACCGTCCGTGGCCTCTATTTAGTTTATTATACATGAGTTTATTTATCAGAGTCTCACTCTGTCGCCCTGGTTGGAGTGTAGTGGTAAGATCTCTCTCACTGCAACCTCCACCTCCCAGGTTCAACCGATTCTCCTGCCTCAGCCTCCTGAGTACCTGGGACTACAGGCACCCGCCACCACGCCCGGCTAATTTTTGTATTTTCAGTAGAGACGGGGGTTTCACCATGTTGGCCAAGCTGGTCTCGAACTCCTGACCTCAAGTAATCCACCTGCTCCGACCTCCCAAAGTGCTGGGATTACAGGTGTGAGTTCAATCTTAAAGGTGAGCTACGTGGATGAGAGCTTGTAGTGGAAAAGGCAGACATCATAGGCAAGAGCATGGTGCTGTGACGGGCTCAGCGCATGTGGAGTCAAGCAAGGGATTCTGTCTGCCTGGAGTGAATGGAGTGTGGTGGGGGTTAGGTATGACAATGGTGAGGCTGGAGAGAGGAGCGGAATCAGGAAAAGTCTTGGAAGCTAAGTACTTTGGACTCGAGTTTGAAGGCATTTGCGCCTTTAAAGTGTTTTTAAGAAGTGTGTTATGACCAGAATTACCTTTTTTGGAAAGATCTCTTGTAACAGTTTATAGAAGATTATCAAAAATGAAACCAGTTTGCCGAAGGTTAGCAAATGAAGGTTATACTCAGTTAAACTGAATGATCTAGCCTGGGGAATGTAGTGAGATACTATCTTTATAAAAAAAATTGGGGGGCTGGGCATGTTGGCTCATTCCTGTAATTTCAGCTCTTTGAGAGGCTGAGGCGGGAGGATCACTTGAACTAAGGACTTTGAGACCAGCCTGGGCAATATAGTGAGACCCTGTCTCCTATATTTAAAAAAATAAAGGCCAGGTGCGGTGGCTCACGCCTATAATCCCAGCCCTTTGGGAGGCCGAGGTGGGTGAATCACCTGAGGTCAGGAGTTCAAGACCAGCCTGACCAACATGGAGAAATTCCCGTCTCTACTAAAAATGCAAAATTAGCTGGGCATAGTGGCGCATGCCTGTAATCCCAGCTACTTGGGAGGCCGAGGCAGGAGAATCGCTTGAGCCTGGGAGGCAGAGGTTGCGGTGAGCTGAGACTGTGCCATTGTACTCCAGCCTGGGCTACAAGAGTGAAACTCCATCTCAAATAAATAAATAATAATAATAATATATAAATATAAATATTTAAAAATTAAAAAAAAATAGCCAGGCTTGGTGGCTGACACCTGTCTTCCCAGCTTCTTGGGAGGCTGAGATGGGAGGATTTCTTGAGCTTGAGAGGTCGAGGCTGCAGTAAGCCATGGATTGTGCCACTGCACTCCAGCCTGGATGACAGAGCGAGACCCTGTCTCAAAAACAAAACACTTGATGGGTCTGGCATTTGACTTAATCCTTCCCTAAAAGCTAATCAAATGACAGTAAAGTGGCTTTTTTTAAAAAAAATGTATTTTTCGAGACAAGGTCTTACTCTGCTGCCCAGGCTGGAATGCAGTGGCTCAGTCATGGCTCACTGCAGCCTCAAACTCCCAAGCTCAAGTGATCCTCCCACTTCAGCCTTCTGAATAGTCAGGACCATAGGTGTGTGCCACCACATGTGGCTAATTTTTAATTTTTTTTTTTTTGTAGAGACAGGGTCTCATTGTGTTGCCTTTGCTGGTCTTGAACTCCTGAACTCAAAGGGTCCTCCTGCCTTGGCCTCCCAAAGTGCCAGGATTATGGGTGTGAGTGTACTGTGCCTGGCCTAAAGTGTTTTTAAAAGGAGTCAAAGGGAGAGGAGTTAATAGCAAAACTTTAGACGGATATTGGAAAACAGACTGATTTTGTAGTCAAGTGGTAACTAAGCCAGCAGCAAAGAAAGCTTACAAGCAACCTGATTTACCATGAAATTAGTAGCATCGTGTACAACTGGGGTGAAAGTGGTACTAAAATTAGGAGGATTATTTGAAGTTAGACCTCCAGATCTCTTTATTGACTCTATATATCTTGGCAACTGATCTTCCCCAACCCATCAGAATACTGGAGGTTTCTTTGTTGGAAATGGAAAAGAGGTTTTTAGCTTAGAGAGCACCTGAGTACAGTTGAGGGCAAGACCACTGCGTTGAAAACAGAGATTAGGCCAGGTGCAGTGGCTCACGCTCGTAATCCCAGCACTTTGGGAGGCCGAGGCGGGAGGATCACCTGAGGTCAGGAGTTCGAGACCAACCTGGGCAACATGGTGAAACACCATCTCTACAAAAATTAGCCGGGCGCGGTGGCAGGCCCCTGTAATTCCAGCTAGTTGGGAGGCTGAGGCAAGAGAATTGCTTGAACCTGGAAGGTGGAGGCTGCAGTGAGCCGAGACTGTGCCACTGCACTCTAGCCTAGAAGACAGAGCAAGACTCCATCTCAAAAAAAAGAAAACAAAAGCAAGTTTAGGGCCGGATGAGTTGGCTCATGCCTGTCATTCTAGCACTTTTGGAGGCCAAGGCGGGAGGATCACTTGAGCCCAGGAGTTTGAGACCCGCCTGGGCAACATAGTGGGATCCTAACTCTACAAAAAATACAAAACTAGTCCCAGCTACTTGGAGGGGCTGAGATGGGAGGATTGCTTGAGCCTGGGAGTTTAGACTGCGGTGAGTCCTGATCACACCACTGCTCTCCAGCCTGGGTGACAGAGTGAGACCCTGTATCAAAAACAAACAAACAACCCCCCCCCCCACCGAAAGTTTATACAGTGAGTGGTAGTTTCCAGAACTCCATCAGCAAGGCTTATACTTTCCAGGTAAGAGACTGGAAGACTCTTCTCTGGGGAATTTGATAAATGAGAAAAGACCTCAGGATATGAACATCAGGGGCTCTCCAACCAGTCAGTTGGCCAGATGACCTCATAGTGAAACTCACAGTTGGTAAGTCCCAACTGTGTACATGGAAATTCTAGTCAACTTCTTAGCACCTTACTCTTTTTTTTTAATTTTTTTATTTCTTGATATAGGGCCTCTGTCTGTCACCCAGGCTGGAGTGCAGTGGCACAATCATAGTTCATTGTAGTCCTGAACTCCTGGGCTCATGTGATCGTCCTGTCTCAGCCTCCTGAGTAGCTGGGACTACAGATGTGAGCCACCATGTCACGCTAAGCACCCGCTCTCAAATGTGAGCAGAAAGCAAAGATTCTAGGTATTTAAAGAAACTTTCTAACACGAAAGAGAGAAACCAAAATAAAAAGGGGGAGGTGGGAACAACTATTCAAGTTCTTAGGTAAGAGATAGTATAAAACATGATTGAATCCAAAAAAGCAACCTTGGCTGGGCGTGGTGGCTTACGCCTGTAATCGCAGCACTTTTGGAGGCCAAGGCGGGGGGATCACTTGAGGTCAGGAGCTGAAGGCCAGGGTCGGTATAGAGCTTTTCGTTCCTGAGTCAGGCTCTCAAGGTAATTGGCAGAGAGCAATGCCAACATTTTATTGAAAGTAGATGTTGTTGCTATTGTTTATGTGTCCA